CACACACACACACACACACACACGGTGCAGTATACACAGTACTGCAGATACAGGCTAATGTCTGCATCATGGTGCTGCACAGCCTGCTATGAGTATTTCTGACCTGATCTGTTTACTATGATTTACATCCTGAGTAGACGATATAAGGTTGGAGCGGACAGACAAATCTTAGAGTTAGAGGCAGAACATTTCATAGTGTTCATACTCTTTTCCCCAGACCATAAAAGCTTCCTGCTGACTAAGAAAAAAAGGCAACCAAGTTCCAAGGTCCATCACTGACAGCAGCCCAGGCTGTGTCAGTAACAGGTCATCTCAAATACTGGGTTCATGCCAGTCTGGAGTAGGTTCATCTCAGATCGATGAATCCAAATCAAACGACCTTTAGCTCAGTCTGATTTGGATAAAAAGCATCAAGTTTCTGTCCAAACTTCAGCCAGTGAAGCTGCATGTGATGCTGAATGCCACCAGAATCAGATGTTTGGGTGTGTGTGTGTGTCTGCACACAGTCGTTGGTCTTACTTGGCAGTTGTTACGGGCTTCAAAGTCATCGTTGCCCGACGCTCGCTCTTGTTCCAGCTTCTTCTGACTCTCCTCCAGCAGGAAACACACAAGCCACTTATAGGCTGCCAAAGGCACTGACAGACGAGGGGGTGGATGTTAGCTACACTGGAAAGGTTTCAGTAATACAGTCTGTAGTCAAGCTGAACCAGTCACAGCAGAAAGGCAGATACATTTACATGTTTATGGCCAACTATTATAAATCACAATCAGGCAGCTTACAGTGCAGAGAAGCAGACACATGCGGCTCTATCAGTTCCCCTTTTTATTTATGTTCCTTTTTTCTTAAATGTTCCCCACCTCCCCTCCTTTGTAATCACATCGATGGTGTTGGATTGGGACCAGCGTGCAGTCCTCTCAGACCCACAGCAGAGGGCTGAGAACTGACCCCAGATCCTGAGGAGGGAGCCTGTTTCTTACTGGGTCAGCAGGGAAATGAATATATGACTATCAGGGCTAAGTGACTAAAGTCCACTATACTCTCGTTTGTGGAACATATTGAAAATTACACATTTACCTCATTTGCAAATCTCGCTCTGTTTTAAAAGGTTTAGTATATAAGAGGATCTGAAAGGAAGGAATTCCACTATCTCATGTAAAAGTTGATTGGAAGCTGTAGCAGAAAGTAACGTACCTGCAGAATCCACACAGTCGTCCACTGTGAGTGCAGTGAACCTGCTTTTGAGGATCTCCTGAGACTCCTCCAGAAAATCCACGGTGTGAAAGGGAGACTCAATCCGCACACCATCTGAGCCCCCATAACCAAACACCAAAGAGAGAAGCTTCAGTGACTGACCCAGCCCATCTATTGACCTTTACTGCAGGTATTTATAATCTGCTGGTGAACAGAGGACTGACCACGCTGTTTTGCATGGAGCCAGGAGAGCAAATAGCTGCTGGTCTGTTGCAGCAGTACGTTGTTGTCTCCTTCATATGTGCAGTTTGGGTCATTGTCATCACGCAGATCACCCAGCCGATTCACTGAAATAAAAAGGAAACACTGACGTATACATACAGCACTGTGCACAAGTGTTAGGCAGGTGTGAAAAATGCTGCAAACAAAGAAAGCTTTCAGAAGAAATGATGGTTTATTGGCCCCAAATGTATTCTGCAGCAGGACAACGAGCCCAAACACACAGCCGGTCATGGAGAGCTATCTTCAGCGTGAAGAAGAACAAGAAGTACTGGATGGTCCGGCCCCCACAGAGCCCTGATCTCAACATAGAGTGTGTGTGGGCTTACAGACAGAGGATGTGAGGACGCCGACATCCACAGCAGACCTGTGCTTAGTTCTCTGAGATGTTTGGAACAACCTACCAACAGAGTTCCTTTAAAAACTGTGTGTGGACATAGAAGAAGGCAAAGGATGGTCCCACCAAAGATTGATGTGATTTAGCTCTCTCTCGATACCTACTGCAACCATTACGATCTACACCACAGCAGCAGTGATCAGTGAGATGCTTGGCTACAAGCTCAACAGTCACACAGAGCAGTGCCCTCCATAGAGAAGGAGACTAGAGGCTAAGCTCAAGGTAGCACAGAGGGAAGTTAGCAAACTATCAGAACTGCAGAAAGGTGCAACAAAGAAAGTGCCTAACAAGTACAGCAAGCTGTCCATTTCCGAGTTCTTGGAAACTGCCAAGCAACGACTCACAGCCTTGACCAGCCTCCTGAAAAGATACACCAGAGAGACAGAAGGCAGGAGAATAAACCAGCCGTTCTCTACAGAACCATCCGAGGTGTTCTCTCAGTGACACGAGAACAATGTTGCTATAAAAATGGTGAGAAAAAGCCAGTTAACAGTGGAAGAGAGACAGACCATCATGACACTTAAAAATATAGGTCTTTCCTCCAGAAATATTTCAAAGAAAGTCGTCAGTGAATCGATTCCTTCACCATCAAAGGCACTCAGGAACTGTGACAGGAAGAGGTCTGGCAGACACAACTGAATCAGAGGACAAGTTTCTGAGAGTTAACAGCTGTGTGATGGCGGCTCACAGATCAACATCTTCAAGCGTAATAGCGGTCGTAGTGAGCAAGTCTCAGCTTCAGCTGTGAAGAGAAGACTTCGAGCTGCAGGTTTGACAGGACGAGCTGCAGAAAGAAAGCCAGACGTCAGACTGAGGCTCGTCTGGGCCATGAAATGCTACCATTGGACTACTGAAGACTGGAAGAAGGTGTTATGGACTGATGGATCAACATTTGAAGTCTTCGGTTCGTCACACAGGATCTTTGTACGCCGTCGAGCAGGTGAAAGCTCCACAGTGTGTGGCATCAACTGTCAAACATGGAGGAGGAAGTGCGATGGTCTGGTGCAGTTTGCTGATCGGGTCGGTGACGCGTACAGAGAGAGAGGCTCCCTGAACCAAACTTTAACTTTACTGGCAACCAATGAAGAGAAGCTAAAACTGGAGCGATGTGTGACCTCCTGTTTGTGCCAGTTAAGTCTTGCTGCAGCATTCTGCACAGTCTAAAGAAACAAGCA